GTTCCTCCATCCTGGTGGTGGAAAACTCGGCCTGCAAGTGTTCTGGTCAACGAGACCATTTCCGTTTGATGACAGTCTACAGGTCTTGTTACCATTTAGGGAAGGCCAGGGCTAAACCCTATCTCCGGCGATTTACCCTTCTTATCATTATCGTCCCCTGAGATCTGTCGAATTCAACGACCAGTGTGACTCTAATCTGTACATCATCAAAGAATCCTTTGGGCAAATCCTGCTCCCGGCACTGGCACAGTGCATGAGTATCTGTTTACCTCCTTGGCTGCATCGTTGAAGGTGTGTAAGGCCTGTAACCTGATTTGTCTCCAGCAATTTTCTCGCCCAAGGGCGACAAACAACAAGCACCTTTCGCTTCCAACTGGCTGCCACGTCCACCCAGATCGTCCTCCACCAGGTTTATCAGGCAGGACAAAATGCTTAATGGCCGGTGTGACTGCAGATCCTCCGATTTGCCTCCAGCTGGTAATTTCCAACAGGCTCTGATGGGCCGGGCAGATTCACTGAACCAGCAGCACGGCCTCATCTTCCGGCTGTGCTCCTTTACGACGATCCCAAGTCCCCTTCCCTATCCTGATTGCCATATTTATTCCTTCCCGGCTGTTCTGAACTGATGATCAAACAATTTCAAGAGTTCTAGCGCGTAATAGCTCCGCTAAGTTTTAATGGTGTGATATAGATTATGCGCTATGCACACTCCTGCTATGATTGACATTGCTTTACACGTTCGGCTGACCCTCCCGGGTGAGTGAGCTGAACTACGCTAGTGTTAGTCACCTGACCCTATTGAAATGGTGACTGAGTGGTTGACTAGTCAAATGGTCAGTTGATCTTTTTACCAACTTGATCTCTTACAAACTCTTACCAACTGCTTGAGGTCTACTGCTAGCACCTCTATCATCAATACTAGTCCACTACTAATCACTCAATTTTATATAAGACAGACTCACACAGTGAAGTGAAGTCTCTAAGAATTATATAATAATAAATAAATTGAAAAAAGTATTGATTAGTCAGTAATTAATCATTGATTAATTATAACTAGAGTAATAATTTAAATTATAGTTACTTTGTATATTAATACTATGATATCAGTCATTTATTAGTTTCATTTATAATTTATATATACTTCTCAAATTAATGATACTCAAGATTTAATCAATCTGTATTTCTAAAAAAAAAAAAAAAAAGAATTATAATATTCATTTTCATTGTGTGTATTATAAGATGTATGAGAAGGTAAAAGTTCATTTTTGTTTTATCCTCAACTGACTCATTTTGTGCCAAGAAATTATTTGGGTCAGGTGACTAACACTAGTGTAGTTCAGCTCACTCACCTGAGGGGTCTCTTGAAGAAAACAATTGAAGATTTCTAATATCAATCTTTCATTCCCCAGTTAACCAACCAATCGTTACTCTAAGTTCATCATATTGTGTGTTTCACGAAGACCAATGTGTTTTCTTTTCATTTTTCCCCCCCTCCTGTTTTGTACAGTGCAACAAACCACCTCGCCTTGAATTAAAATTGGAAAAGCAACATGGTCAGCTACCTCAGCACATTCTCATCGATAGAAACAATTCTTCCGCTTTACCGCACAGTCAAAGAAATCTAGCAAGCAAGCGACCACGTTTCTTCATCAGTGATTTCCTTGGCAGAAATTCAAAGCAGTTGATTTCAGTGTTTCCTTTTTTCTGTTCCAGTAACAGGGAATTCGTCTTTGACGTGCACTAGGGTAGGCATCCCTGAGCGGAACACGGTCCCCAAACATAGTATCATCAAACCCCGGAAAGTTCGTTGTTCCTGGAAATTCAATGCTTTAGTTCTAGGCACCCTAACACGTTACTAGGGCTATTGCGTTGCAGCTACTCCGTATTGTGTCCTGGGTTCGTTATCAGAGCCAATTCGGAATGTAATTAAAAAAGAAAACTAACTACGTAATGGATCCTCTTCCTTCCACAATCAGGTCGCCGAATACCACCGCAGATATCTAGCTCAAATACACCGATGAACTAAAAAGACACATGCAGAAGATTGAATTTGTGTATATATCCTCCCGAACAGTCACTTTTCGTCTACATGAGAGGGTTTAGTTATGTGATAAGTCTGTTCTTGCTCGTATAACACGAAACAGCCATCTACATCACAGAATCGAAACGGCCCATGTAGCAGGTCTCGGAAACAAAGACCAAGTTCATATGATGGTCTACTTTCCAATTGGAGAAATTGTGATGAGACAAAAAAAAAAAAAGGGGGGGGGGGTGGGGGGGACCCCAACATTTGAGGCAATTCACCAAGCGGGGATGATTGAAAGGAAAGTAACTGTTGTCTAGTCCATGTCCATGAAAAGGAAAGCGGCGACGGAGAAGAGCTAATTGATATACACTCAATGCATGGAATAAATAATAATTTATATGTCAGTGTTCCCGCTCATTCTAGAGAGACCACAAACCTTCTTATTTCTAAACTTACATATACGCACCAATAAGATGCTGGATGATGGTCGAGAGTGAAGGATGGAATGCAGCATGCTTGACAAGACAAGAAAAGGGTGGGGGAGGGGGGATAGTTTGTGCTCCAAGCAAATCCGCAGAAAAAAACCAAGCTCGCACAAATCTCTCTCTCTCTCTCTCCCTCTCCGGCCCTCTCCCCGGCTCTCGAATAACAAAACTTCAGCCGTTGTAATAGATCCTCCTGATTTCTCCCGAGTAATGCAACCTGCAGACCATACAAGTATATTACATCACCCACCAACCCCCTCACCTGCTTCGCATTTAACGCATGTAATGTGTCATATGAAAACACACGGTGCCCAAGAAAGACCATTTTCTGCATCCATGCACCCATGCGAATACACCGGCGAAAAACTGGATTGATGAATGCGTGGATGGATGCAGTTCTATGTGGTTATCTAAAACAATACATTGCATATACAAAACGTGTATATTTAGGGGGGAGGAGGAGGTGGAGGAGGAGGAGGGTGGCTAGGGCTAGAGGCTTCCGAGGGCAATGAGGGATAGAATATAGTTGTGTAGCAAGAAGACAAAACCCACCCACACTCACTTCGTCAATGCTAGATTTAGGAGGCGAGGTCAAAGCTGAGGCACGGATATATATAGATATATAGATATATTTATGTATTTATTTACTTGTATATATATGTCCCTGTCAAGGGTAGCACACAGGTGCATTTGTCAGGCATCTGATATTATTATTATTATATTGCTCAATATCCCTTTTATGCAGAAGATGAGGAAGGGGACTGATCAGATTGAAATGTAAAAGCAATGCAAAGAAAAGAAGAGCAAAGAAATAATGAATCAAGAGGGAATCAGGGGGAATCCATGAAAACACACGATTTATTGTGCTCAAGAGAGAGGGAAAGAATAAGAGGAGACCACATCCATATCCATAGATGTAAAAAATACAAGGGTAGGCCCCTTAAAAGAACAAGCAATCAGAAAATGCAGCAGTGGTTAGTGTTAGTGGACCTGTATCAGAGCGTGAACTGTCCGCCACTGAGTAGTAAGATAACAGACAAGGTAGATAGATGGTATAGATGTAGATATATTGAGACCGCATCTCAGTTTCCTGACACTTTCCAAATCCCCAGTCCATCCCCCACCCAACTCATGAGCACGGAATATGTCGCTGTTGTACCAGGAGAGATAGATGGGTGGTAATTTGATGATGATAATTTCGGGGGGAATAGAGCGAATTGTATATCTATTATAAGCAATGGCCCCGGCGTATGCTTGTTGGCTGGTCTGTTTATATGCGTTTCCTTATTGTTCGTCGGTCTGATACCGGATTGTGGATGATGCATGCACCATGGAACCTGTCAAACATGACTCAAGAAGATGAATTAAAGGAAACACAAATCCAACTATTCATATAACATACTGAGTATAATCACAGGAAAAAAAAAAAAAAGAAAAGAAAAGAAACAAGGCAAAAACATGAGGTCTCCAGTGCACACTCTACTCTTAATATGAATAAATTGATTTTATTGTTCATTTTTTTCCCTTTCTTTTTCATCCGTTATCCCCTTGTGAGTGTCGAGGCATGACAAAGATATAAAAATAAAAATAAGCCAAAGAAGATCGGTAGAGTAAGTTTGTTGTTGGTGATATATACGTATGATTTGGTGTGTGATATAGCGACGTCAATTATGTTCGGACAGAGAGATAAGCAATCACGAAGAACAAAAAAATTATACATACAAAAATACGGCAAGAAATGTTAAACAAAATTGCAAGAGTAAATAAAAATCG